TCTGAAAAAGAATTAAGATAACAAACATATAATAAAATTTAAAATGTAACCATATATAGATCTTTTTATTTAATAATTTTAATAATTAATGTTCGCCAGAAGTACCATAAAAGCCTAAACCTAACGTAAACCTTGGGGTTGCTGGTAGCTAGAGTGCAAAGGGTTAATTTTCTATTATTATTTATTCTCCTTCGATTTTTGTTCCCCACTTTTAACGCAGAACAATTTCTATTTACTATTTTCTACTTAAAACGTTATACCATTTAATCGTGACGTCGAGACAGGATGGTTTCAAGTCTTCGATTCGCCCTCGAAGATTTTAATCATTGTCCATTCATTGGATTACTCGATCCTGACATTGAGAGCACGTTTCTAACAATTTCGCAAGACATTTGTATTCGATTGATATATCCCTGTTCGGTGTTGTACATTTTTTTAACGAAATAAACAGACGAAACATATGAAATTCCGTCATCGTAAAATTAAAGACTAACTGCGAGGCCTATACCCTGTAATCGTAAATGTTGCTCCCCACGTAAACTATTCTAGCGATAAATATTCTGATGCCGCGTGTCGTTTGACGCCATTCTGCCTCGATGTTTCCTCTTCCTCTTGAAGAGAATGCTTCCACGAGTTCTATCACTAGCAATAAATAATAAATTAAGAAGCAGCGATCGCACAGTGCGGCTCACTTAGCAAATGACTGTAATCGAAATTCCTCTAATTCGTGCGAATGCTGTTATTCAGAGATATGACTGACCATTGAATTCGGCTAATAGTAATTAATTAGAAGAATCAAGTGCATTTCATATTAGATCGTTCAATGTATTAGCAACTAATTTTCTTAGCTTCATTGCACAAATGCAAAATTGATATTAAATTTTTACGGAACAAATGATCTACTTCTATAAGTTCGTTCATCGAAGAAAAATGGTAAAAAACAAGTAATGGTAAATTTAAAGAACAATGTTTGTACAATATCATTATTTACAAAATTGATCAACATGGTTTCTGAACGATCCTTTTAATTTTACGATATCTATTAAGTTTCCTATTCCAATTTTCTAAATCAATAGTAACAATTCCCATGATTTTAAACTTAACTTTCAGAAAAATTTCATACCTACACGATGATTCGATTTTATTTTTTCTATTACCTTCTGAGAAAATTATTCCTATTTCTTCTTACTGTAAATTTCTCATATTATTATCTTTTTTCTTTGGTCAAATTATTCTCATAATACAACTTTCTCGTTGACAGAGAATAGAATGAATAATTATATTGGTGGAATTCAATGGAACTTATCTGTTACACAAAGTCGTATTTCGCAAACTCGTTCTCTCAACGTTCATCAACCCTTGAACGATGATTTGAGCAACGTGTAGGGCGAATGTTGGATCCAAACATACCCATAGCGAAATATTTTTCCAAGTAGAAGAATGCAAAGAGACTTTAAACTCAAAATTCATTAAAATTGAAATTTCCCTTTTTTTTT